AGGAATTCGATTTTAATGTAGAGTTTCCTTTTAGACCTAATTCTATCAGAGATGAATTAATTAAAGCGCCAAAGCGTTTAGCTAACTTCTTGCCTCCTCATCTTAGAAATCATAGCTCAGAGATTCCTCCTAACCAAGATTCACATGAGAATCGTTGGTATGAGAAGATGGCATTATGGGCTTGTCTCACCAAAATGAAGGATGAAAATCCCAATGATCCCATGCTAGCACCTTGTGCGATAAGATCTATCGCAAATGTATCATTAGGATTCTGGGATAATTTCAAAAGATCAAAAGATCCAACTCACCCTCTTTATGAAGGTGAGGAATTTATCCAAAATGTTGTAGGTTTTGAACCTACTGTAGGTTCTCGCCCTGATCCCTCCATTAAACCCAGACCTCGAACAATTTTCTGGTCCCGTGTCCCATTTTATTTAATAACTGACTCTGAAGAATGGTTGAATGTAGCTAGGGGTTACCCTCCAAAGACCACTCCATTCTATCAAAAATCAATTGCACCAGAATTCGGAGCTGAAACCCTGCCATTCATTCGTATTGATCCACTAACAAGGCTTACTGAAGAAGAAAAAGCTGCCATTTATCTTACTATTAAGAAAAACTTTCCTTCTCTTCGTGAAATACGAGCTCCATCCCCTGTTCCTAAAACCCGCTCTAATGATCCCTCAGCTATTCTGAAGCGAAAGCAACAGAATAAGATTGCTGCCTCTGAGTTTCAACGACTCACAATAATCAACATGCCTCCACTCAGATGTCGTACTGAGAATCTAATCCAAGAATCGATGCAGCTTCACCCTACACTCTTCACCACTTATTCAATTCATATGGCTTATTGTAGGGTTGAAGGCATTTCAACTGATGGTACAAGGCTAGCAGTTCGACCACGACCAATATGGGTTGTCATCGTCGACGGGTATAGAAACATTGTATATGAAAGTCTGATTCATTACCCTAATATCACCTTCATGGACTCACACTATCATGGTGTCACTCATCGAGATCTCAAGTTCGCTAAAACTTTCCTTGCTGTCAGAGATCAAGTCATTGTTTTTCTCGCCTCCGCTACTGCAATCATCGGATCCGGTCTGATTAATATGCTAAGAGCTCTTGATCTTTCTGATCATGAAATAAATCATCTCCAACCAAAACTGAGAGAAGTGACTCAGTATTTTTCACCCTACCGAGAACACCCAGCTGCTCTCTCATTAATTTCCTATCTTCTCTTTCCTGGTTTCACAATTAGATGTGAACCTCATAGCCCTGCTGTTGAAGCTATAACCTCGATGAATCTTTATCTAGCATTCTGGCAACAAATCGAGGAAAAGGCTGAAACATTTAATGGCATTCATCATGGAAACATGCGTTTCACTTGTGCTAATCAAACTGTATCTCGATTATTCCAGATTTACAGTAATCGAGTTGAAAGGAACGTAGCTAGATGGCCCTCGAATTGGTCATACAGTCTGCGTCATGATCCTCCTGTTTATTCAATGCGATGTGTCACTCCGACTTCTCAACCTTCGTCATCTGCTTATGAGAACCCTGGTCAAGATGAAGATAACCTTTCAATTCATTCAACTCAATCTAATGAGTCTTCTCGCACCATCATTCATCATCCTGATCCTCCTCAAATGCAATCATCTGTCAACGAGAGTGAACCCGAGAGAGATGTTCCTCTAATCAACTTGGATGACGAACCTTCTGACCCGGTAATTCAGCCTAATTCCCCTGAAGAACCAAATGAACCAGAGGCTAAAACGACTTCTCCTAAGGCTTCAAATGATACACTTTCTCCTCCGCCTGAGATAAATCTTGAAAGATCTGAAGGATCTTCAATTTATTCCGGAATAACCATCTCAGCCTCGCAAGAAACAGATTCACAAGTGGAATCCTCACCAACAACATCTCAACCCTCACAAACTTCAACTCAATCGTCCCACAGCACAACAATTACAGCCTCATCCATAGATACCTCAGCCACTGTTTATCCTCCTTCCACTGATTATTCCGACTCTTCCTCTGATTCCTATCATACAGGTACATCATCCCCCGCATCAACAACTTCATCAAATCTGTCTCCAAGACAACGCTCCGGAAGATACCTTGACAGCCTAGTACAGCAACAAAGAAGACGAGAAAGGAGTCTAACAGCTAGACCACAAAGTCAATCTGACACTGACATTTATTACACCTCGGAACTATCTCAAGAAAGCCATGTTTCAGGAACTGAATCGTCCCAGGATTAAAGAAAAGCCTTCTTCATTTCACAACGCTAAACTCAGTTTCAAAGAGACATCATGGTCTCAAAACTCGGGATGTGTTGGGTAAAATTCTGGTCTCTCTGATACTGCTTTAGACGCTGTTGAATTCATTGCCTCTCTCTACTTTCTTATTTAAACTTACTCTTTCTTATTGTTAAAACAAATCTTTTCTTAAACTCAGCTAATATTTATTCAGGTTAACCACAAGTTCAAATAATGCTTCTTAATTGTATTCCTAATTCATGATAAACTGATCCTGAAAGCTGAGATGATTCTGATCTAAATTCCTAAGCCAAAGCTAGAGCTAAAAAGTCAATTTTTAGTGCCATTGGGAAAGACTCAAAATTTTCTCTTTCTTTTTGTGCTCTGTTTTTCATCAAAAGTCTTGTCATAATTTCACAATTTTTAATCCCTTAGTTAATGTCAAGGCTAAGACAACTCACGTGTCTTTCTTTATCAGTAACCATAAGTTACTCTATCTTCAACTGTACCATCATAATGGTACCAATGACCAGTTCTATTCTCTGGAGACTTAACCAGAATAGACTTAAGAAACAGACACCAGAGTTACTTACTCGAAGTTCCCTCCAATTTTATTCTATTGTTTTACTGAGTATAAATTCAATTTCATTGTATCTTTTTACTTCACTTCTTTAACTCTTCTCATTCATTCTAATTAGAAGTCAAAATTCAATCTTAAATAAAGTAACTTTCTAAAGTTCAATATTCTACTTATGCCTAAGTTGAATCTTTCCTATTGTGTTCCTAACTAGCTCAAGCTAAATTCAATCTCTAACAGTGTAAAATAGTGCTTTAGATCCACGGTGATCCTCGATACGAATTCTTATCTTGTGTGTAAGCAAGTGCGCGATCTTTCCTTCGTTAGATTAGCCTAAACAAAACCCTTACAACAGTGATGGTAAGGCCAATACAAAAGTTAGATTCAAAGAAGCAAGTGATGTGATGAATGTCGGAGTTATTAAAGAAACTTTTAAAAATGAAAAGCCAACATTTGATTGTGCGATGCGATCAAGAAAAAGATGAATCTAATGGAAAAATGAAAAGACAAAGTGGTCAAGTTTAATGACATTAAATAAAGCGCAGAGTTTATTACCTCGTCGTTGACTTGCGAAGAGTGCTTTTCATATGAGAGTGAATAGACATCATGGAAACATTGAGTTGAAAGATAATGAATATATGTCATATTCCAGATGACAAGAAACAAGTTAGCAAATCGAATTGCGAGACGAAGAAATCCAACTATATTTGGCTTGTGCCAAAACTGGACAAGCAAAATGAAATACGTAATGATGTATAATGAGCAAAAATAAAATATTGGTAATCTTAGGAATGAATCCATTTTTTCTGTAACGACAGCAGCTATACTGTACATTGATCGCACTTCAAGAATTTCATCGCTGGTTAAAGAACGACTGTCAGTCTTTTTCAGTGAATGAATGCGTTCAATAACAGCAAACCAGCATGCATGAATGTGGAGACATGATTCAACAATAAATTGTAAATATGATAGATAACTGACCAAAGTAATTGCAGTGAGGGATTTTAAAAGTAAACTTTTCACAAGTTGAAAATAGTCATTGGAATCGAGGAAAGTCATTACTGGATAATAATATATCATGAACATAACACTAAACGCAATAAAAGCACAAAAATAGTAAAAAGTTGTTCGAATCTTGACGAAATGACGATGAGCTTGCGAACTGTCGAGGTTACATCTAGTTTGACTTTCAAATATTTCGATCAACTCAATATATTGCCACCGTTTGAAACGTACCATTAAAAGCCAAATACCATGTAAAGTTAAAGTTAAACGTTGAAAGCAAGTTTCATACCATTCTAATTGGGTTCTGTTTTGTATACCAGATGCTAAAACTGTGTAAATTGCTGCGATTATCAGTAGAAAATGTATCAGATTACTTTTCTTTCCATCAAATCGAAGCATCGTAGCGTATACGCCGCGTGGTTTGGAACAAGAAACACGACCATTGATAGTAACTACTTGATTCATGATGTTGCACTCAAAATTACTTTCAATTAGGCACCAATCATGGCAGAGATCATTATTTATACAGAAAATTTAACTTGCTAAAGTGAGCATTAACTCTATGAAGAGCGCATCTACATAGTCACGAATCACCAGTCCACGTGTCATCAGATCAATAACTCAATAATTCTGGTCAACTAAATCATAGGAAATCAATCAATCATTTGTGTATCTTCACACTCTTCTATTCGATTCTTTATAGAGCTTGGTTTGCATATCATATTATCCATTATTAGTCTGGTTAACAAGTCGTTGTTTAATATTAATGATATTTATATTGTACTACCGGTACTTGTTAACGGGTTTTCCTACCAAATTAACTACTCTTTAGCTAGAGAATGCTTGCATTAGCTGACAAATATTGACCAACAAGCAGCTCCAGGACTAGTTTCAATAACATTTAGCTATTACAATGCATTTCACGTTATTTTCAATGGTTGATCGTTGATATTTTTAAAAAGATGCTCTTGAACAAATACTTATACAAAAGTCTGGCTATTTACGCCTTGGATGCTATCGTTAGACTGTCACCGTAATTTGCAGTCTTCAGTTCGAAAGGTTCTTTGATTCTAATTACAAATGTTACAGCCGATTTACTTGAATAAAGAGATCAACATTAAAAATGATTTCCTTTTTATTTGGTTTACCCTTTACAGATGAATTGATCGAGGAACCCTTTCCTTATATTGCCTGCCTTGTGGTTCTCAGTGGACTAATTATCTTGATATTGCTTGTTTGGCTTAAGTTGAAGGGTTGGAAAGCAGGTGAAAGTGAGGACAAGAAATCGGATATTGATTCAAACATGGCTCAAAGTGAAACAATCAGTACAACAACTCCAGATGAGTAAGTAAATGTTAACATATTTTTACCTTGAAATTAATGGCAACGCATTGCATTCAATATTAGACTTTCATCTTTTCGTTTCTCACCTTTCTTTATGTAACGATATCTTTTCATGCCAAAATGTGTGACAATAATTCATGAGATAACAATGAAATGCTCTTGAGAATTGTAAACATTGATGATAGATTATCATGTTAATATTATTTTGATTCGTGTCAACTTGAGAAAAAAGAGATCAAATTGATAAACTTGTTGATCAGTTTCAACAATTGAGCAAAGCTGAGAGGAGAAGATTTGAAATCTCTGGATAATTCATGAATAAACTCATTGATAGGGAGCAACGAAAAGTTGGTTAAAACGTTTAAATATAGATCATTAGATAACTTTGCTGAATCCAAAGTAAACATGAATAATGCAGCTAATGAGAAACAGTTATGAAAACATTTACATGATAAACTGAATGGCGAGACTGATAATGACATGGAAAATGAAAATGTATCGAGACAATGTTTTTTTGTTGAGAATGATAAAGCCGTGAGAAGAAAAGAAAAATAAGTCGAAAATTGAGTTGTTTTCATCTTCTTTCATTTCTTTTTGCTCTTCATTTGATTAATTTTCATGATGACCATGATTTTGTTTTGCTGATTGGATTGGATTGTTAAAGCTGCCAAATGAAAGATGTTTCAATAAAAGAGGCAAAGCGATTGGCAATAATCAATCTTAAAGAGCAAAGTAAATCATCAGCACCGGATATAATTGAACTAAACTGTGATTCTCTGGTTGTTAACCATAGTAAGTATACATTTGCTTCTCATTTCCCTTCATCTTTTCAGTCTTTTCATCTTCATCATGTTCCTTATTATTATTTTCATCTTTATTATTCCCTTTATCCAACGAACCTTGTTATCTCAATCTGAACTCCCTGCTTTTCAACTCCCAGCAAATCACTTCCAAGCTTGTACTTTGCAATTTCTCAATCTAATTGGATTAAATGGTTGAACTATATTGAAAATTAACTCAGTTTCCAACTATTTTATAATCGAGCAAACGATACGTTTCGATCGATTCAGGGAATAATTTTTCGCTAACTGACCTGAAGTTTATGGATAATTCCTTCGCGATGACAATTTGCCAATTATAAAATAAATGAAAACTGCTAAGTAAATGTAACTGGAAATCTTTCATCTTTCGTTCAATTATGGCTAAAAATATCAACCTTATCCCATAATATTTATTGCATTGTCCAACTGATATTAGAGAATCAATGTTGACTTTGTTGAACCAGTAAATAATCATCAGTATCATCATCTAATAATAGTGAAAGGTCTTTAGCGAAAAGAACTTCATTTCACGTCAAAAGTTTCTTAAGGTCAAATAATCAAATTCAGTAAGACTTGAAACAAGATCAACTCTGGTTATATGAAAATCTTTGAAAAAATAATAACTACACAGTTATTAATCAATATATTTAAGTTAATAAGATCATTTATTTGAAATTCAGTTACAAGCTACATTTATTGGACATTACGAACATTTTGAGTGAAACATGCAAAGAGGTAGAAGACTAAGGTGATACATAACTTCTAACGTCACTTGATCAAAAAAGGTGCTGCTAATGCAAGAGTCAAAGAGATTGTTGCCAGTGTAGTAGCGCAAGTTGGTGTGATAACAAACAGGTCCAGGAAAGTAAAACCAACATCACTGCGTTCAATGCGAGTGAGGAAAAGTTGAACCTAAAAGATGGAAAAATTGAAATTGCTAATGCCTTATGATTACACTTTAGTTACCTCTTTTTTAGCAAACAATAAATCTGTTTTATATGAAAGTGAGTAAGCTGACTGATAGATTCTGGTTGCAAGATGATTGATATAAACCATGTTATAAGCTACAAGAATAAAGACTGACAAATATCCAGCACAGACCAATATGGTGACAAAAGATGCATCGGCGATTGCCTTAGCGAAAATGAAATGGACACTGACGAAAGAGAACACAAAATAAGTAGAAATCACAGGCCACAACAAAGAGTTGAACTTTTCTGTCGTTTCAACTGCAATGCAATACAAGCGACGAACTTTCCGAATGTGTTCAATAGACAAGCCATTTGTTGATTTGTTCAATGTGTCTATTTGTTTTTCAACTCGCATGAAACAGGTATGAATGTAAAGACAGGTTTCAACAAAGAAACGGAATAAAGCAAAATTACAAAAGAAAGAAATCTGCAACGAGCTGAATACAAAGGCGCGTAAGGCACTCATATTTAACTTTATGAGGCCCATAATGAAAGGAACAATATTCATTGCAGCATTGATTAAGAAATTGATAAACGTAATCAAGTAAAAAAAGTAACGATTCCTTTTCATGTAAGCATCTAAGGATTGATCATTCGACGGGAGCTTAGCATTGTATTCAAAATGTATGATAAGATCGATGTATTTGTTTCTTTGAAAGCAAAGTGAAAACATGAACAGAGCATAAATAATTTGCTGGATCCCTAATATTGGCAGAGTTCCCGTTAAAAAAAAGAACCAGTTAGTGCTATCCAATGCGAGTCCAAAAGCAATGAGTAGAATAACAATCTTTCGATCAGACCCAAGCGCCCAATTTATTATTCCAGCTTTTGAAGCGCGATTCAATCCATTTTCATTCGATGTATTCATTTTGGTTTAATTTTATCTAACATTCACTTGGATTGAGTTAAGATATAACTATTTGCTTAGAGTCAAACTGACGAAATGAATCTAAAGATTTACGATTAAATCAGTTATGAACTGTTGTTACTAACCAGTATCTTACTCCTGATTGGCTCATTTCAATGTAGACTAATCAATAATCAAATGCGTCAGATAAAATATGAATAAAGAAAAGTTTATGTTTTTGATTTAAATTGTAACAAAGAGTTTAAACTGAAAATGAATTTTTAAGAATCAGTAACTCAATCAATCACAATGTTCAAGAAAAACATGAATAGATTTAATTACAATAATGATCAATCAATTTGACATTCGATCAAATTTTTGTTCTGGATTCATGTGAATTTTCAATTGATTGTTTCTTCGGTTACAATAACAATTTTATTAACAGATTTGCGACAAATACAATTTATATGGTTCATTGAATTCGAAAATTTTTCTTCATTGATCTTGATAAGTAACGTTTTCTCATTATCCTATGCTTTAAACGTACAGTCAGCGGAGTTACTATCTCTTGTTGAGGTTCAACTAAAACATTTTTTCATTCCATTTTAACTCCTTGCATGATGTGGATTTATCGGATTTTTCATTCAAAACCCTTTGAAACAAACTCTTTGAAACATTCTGCATTGAACCTGATACAGAATATTTTATCTCATTCTTGAAACATTACTACGTGCCACAAAGTTTGTTGATTGCGAGAAGGTAATTGTCTCTGTTGTCAGGCTGTAAAAATTTGAAAGTCAGAAATATAAATTCATTATTCAGAGAAATTGAGACTATCTTTCTGAATGACATTTTCGTAGTTAAGTTAAAATATCTAAATACCATACATGCATTATAAGTGCGGTTTTAAGAAGCGAAATAAATCCCAAAGTTATTTGATCAGTGCTGGTGTTGCCAGAGCAATAGTCAGTGATATTGTAGCCAGTGTAGTAACATAAGTTGGTGTGATAACAAACAGGTCCAGGAAAGTAAAGCCAACATCACCGCGTTCAATACGAAGGAGGAAAAGATGAACCTGGATTTGATAAATAAGCAGAGAAAATTAAAGATAAGTTTATAGAAATTATTAAATTTTATAATTACCTCTTTATTGGCAAACAATGAGTCAGTTTTATATGTAAGTGAATAAACTGATTGATAGATTCTGGTTGAGAGATGGTTTACATAAATCATGTGATATGTTACGAGGATAAAATTTGTGAATTCCAGTAAACTGGTTCCTAAAGTAACAATCGATGGATCACTGATTACATGTACAATCGAGAAATGACTTTTAACGGTACTCATCACAAAATAAAAAGCTATAACTGGCATGAATAAATAATTTAACTTTTCTGTCGTTTCAACTGCAAAGCAATACAATCGACGAACTTTCCGAATGTCATTAATAGACAAGGCATTTGTCGAGTTGTTCAATGTGTCTATTTGATGTTCAACTCGCATGAAACAGGTATGGATGTAAAGACAAGCTTCAATGAAGAAACGAAGGAAAGCAATAAAACAAAGGATACCAATAGCTGCCAAACCAATGAAAATGACAGGGGCATAAGCTGGGAATGTGAACGAAGCATTGTACCAAGCAAGATATACCAACAAAATGCAAACTGAACCGTGGATGAGCGTAAATATTTGAAATATTAAGCGATTCTTGCTTAGATAATCAACTGTTGAAGGTGTCAACTCGATATTTGTCTTGCGTTCGAAATGAGTGATGTAATCGCTGTATTTTTTCCTACGAATACAAAGTGCAACAAGCAAGAAAGCAATTAACCAATGTCGAATAGCAATTAGTACCAAACGTGTAATTTGATAAGCGCCCGAAACAAAGTAGAGATCTTCAAAACATGTCAAGGCATCCAACACAAAGCCAAATGCGACGATTAGAACAACAGATTTTTGGTCCGATAAAAGTGCCCAAGTAATTATTCCAGTTTTTGAGACTCGATTCGATTCATTGACTGTATTCATTTTGTTTAAACTTTCTTTAATATTGTTTTACAATTATCAGCTTCAGAAATTAATATTCAACTGTTTGATTCGAGAAACACTGTTGAAATGAAAATTGTATGATCGCCAATGAACTATGTTCAAGGGTGTTGTAACCATCTAAAGTAACTTCTCATTGGTTCATTCGCACAATCTTAAATAATAATAATCAAAACACTATATATTAGGGGAAGGCAGAAAAGGTTAAAATATTATTGGCATTATTAATATCTTGGCATTTGAATTGTGTTATTATATAATAATGAAAAGTTTAAATTCAAAATGAATCATTTAGAATTAGTATCTCAATCAATCATGAAAATCAGGGAATAATAGATTTGCTTTACCAATGATTAATCAATACTTTTGTGCTTAATCATAACAAATTTTGTATCGAATGATTTCAGTCATGATTTGTGTCACACACTGCTTGCATCGATACATAATAAATATCAACTACAGCGCACTAGCGAAACAAAAGCAAAAATACATGTCTAATTATTTTTCACCCTCTACAACATAAGACCGAAAAAAATGCAAATGATCGTACCAGCAAGAACACTTTCTTGTCAGTAAAAAATAATTAGCGGTCAGTCATGATCGTATTTTCAACTTAACCATTATGATCATTTTGGAAACCCAAAGTAAAACCCAAAGCCTGAACACATAAAAAATTATGGATGAAAGACGGAAACAAACTCTAAAAAATTTGAAATAAATAATGGTTTAACCAAGGAAATGAACTAATAAGAAGGATAACAAATGTGACCACCTTTGCTTTTGACACTTCTGCTTTCACTTTTGGATTGAGTTTAAACATTTAGATGATAATAATAATAGATAGCTATTATTGACATTCTGTTAATAAGATTATTTTGATGTTTATGTTTCACTTTTTCCTTGGTTCGTCCACTTTCAATCCATGAACCAGCAAGAACCAATAAGAGTCAACCTAAACAGGTCAAGACATAAATGTAGCAAGTCAACAGTTTTTACAGATCAAGACATAATTATATTGATAGCATTTGATAGGAAAAACAAATTGCGATGAAGTGATTCATTTCACATTTAAGTTTGATAAAGGAAAAAGTAAGCTGAAAATAAATGAAATGAGGTTTTGTTTTGAAAATGTTTCGGTTAAACTCTTGCCCTTCGATTAGGTACCAATGATCAATTATAATTGACCATTTGCAATCATTCAATTGACCACAATTCAATTGATATGCAGTTGTATGAGCAGAAAATAAATAGATTATTCAATGAAACCAAGATATATCATTTTCTCAAAAGTAGCTGTACAACAAGAAAATGATGTAAACGGAAAAGCAAAAGGACGAAGGCAAAAAAAGACCATTAATATTTATCTAACCCATCATTATTTTATCGAACTCTTTTTTCTCTTGCTTCTTACCTTGAACTTTTTTCTCCTTCCACCTTCAACCCAAAAGTCCAACACTTTTTTTCCCTGATGGAGCAAAAGTTTTATCCCTTTTCATGGTGTTCTTGGTGTGAACATATCAGTGTTTCAATGTTTGACTATCTATGTTTGTCTGTGTAACATATTAATACCAATAACATGACCAATATTGAAGCATTTTTTTCCTCTTTGACTCTCCTTCTTTTTACTCTTATCAGGAAATTTTCCTGATTTGCTGGGAGTTGTTGCTATCATCATCATGGGTTGCTGTTGATGTTGCTGTTTATTTCATGATTTATTAGACTCACCAAATAATGTGATAAAAATGAAGCTTTTGCTTAGTTTCCTTATCAAAATGCCTTTTCTTGGCTTTTCCTTTTTCTTTTTTTATCTCTTCGTTTTTTATGGCTTGTATTTTAATTTCCTCCAAACTTGATAACCCATGTTTACAGTATTGATATTTAAGTTAAATTGCCCATGGTTACTACGGTCAATTTGATTGTCCATTTCTTGCCATCAATAGCTTTTCTTGATGTTCCTTCAAGTGTTCAATTTCCACCTTATCGACAGATTATATTGAATTAAATCACTTGTTAATATCAGTATTAGCATAAGAGGGTGAAAATTTCAATATCAGGTCAACATTGCATGAGCATAATAAATTTCAAGTTTGTTTACCAAAGAAAAATTCAATGAAACTGAATGGTCAGTCATGCTTACCACTTGCAAAGCATTTTGTTTCAATTCGCGAATGTACACAATCTTTTGTGGCCATTATGGCAAAGCGAAAAGATCATGCATTGAGCTCTTTTCTTACAAAAATATCTATTTGATTCTAGCAATTTATAACAATCATTTTATGTCAACAGTTTTTCGAGTTTTTCGAGTTTTTTTCAAAATTTGGCCAAAAATTTCATCAATACTAGCCAAAGAACTCAACAATCGAAAAAAATTGGTACAAAAAAGTTAACAAAGTTTCATGAAGTTTTCATCGTTTTTTAAACTGAACTGAATCGCAAAAAAATCTTTTATATTTATCTCTAGTAAGACAAATGCAATTTTCTTTTTGCTATTAAAAAGTAATCAAAAAGAAAGCAAAAGATGAAAAACAAATTGAACGGAAAACTTTTCTTTTTTTCTCGACCATTTTAAAGTGGAATGTTCAAGTTTTTCTAAGCTTTTTCTTTCAAATTATCATTCTATCAACAGAGCTTCATGCTAGCAAAATATTAGCAAATAACTAATAACTAATGACTAGCTTTTAATCAAGTTTGGATTATCAAACAAATCAAATCGAGGTTGAAACTATGGAAATAAAACAGTAAAAAGTAAATTCATGTTTGCCGAAAAAAGATGAACATGATGATGAAGATGGTGATGAAGTTTATGAAAATATTGCCATCCATGAGCAGACAACTTTGAGGTAAACAGCAATGAAGTGTTCACATGGAAATAAACAGGGAACAGAAGAAGTAACAATCTCAATTTTTTATTGAAACTAAATGTAATAAATGTCCGTAGAAGCATGAAGCAAATAATTAGCCGAACGATGGTTAACACTTTCAACTCATATTTTCTCTTCATTTTGTAACATTTTCCCTTCATCATTATCATCATTCCATCTTTTCTCTCATCTTTCTTCTTCTGTTGTCCTCCATGATTACTACAAGTATCAGTTGGAAACTATTGCTACTAACACAAAACTGGCTATACTTTTCCCTTCAACCACTTCTTTTCTCATCTTCATTCATTTGATTTCACTCTCATCCAACAATTCATTTGTTCATCATGTTTGAACCTTTTTTCATCTTTGTTTCTGTTCATCAATAATATTAGCAATCCTTACGGTCACAGAATTTATTTCTCACCATTTTTTATCTTCTCAACTTGAATTCCTTTTCTCATTTCGTTTCTCATTCTTCTTTATTTATCATCATTTTCTATTTATTTCATCATGAACTCACACAAACACACAAGAAGAAAAATACACTCATCATCACTTTTTCTTCTCTCTTTCTCTCTCTTCTTCTAACAGATGAAAGACAAGAAAAGAAACCTTCCCTTGATGACATTTCAGAGTTCATTCTGGCTCAAAATGAATCTTATCCTGTTCACCTCATCTTATCCGAGGTAAGTCAAAAAATTTTAACTAAAACCTTTCACTTTCGAGTAAAAGGTTGGAACTTGGGGTGACTTCATCAATACGCTATTATTCTTGGATTTTGAGGAGCATAAATAATGAGATTGACTTGATCTTCTTCGCTCCCAACGCCTCCGATGACGTTTCACTAGCTCTCGGGAAGCTTCTGATAAACCGATCAAATTAACTTGAGTCTTTTGTTTAAATATCAGTCCAATGCATATGTTGTATGACCATCAGACTTCGTTACATAGAAAAAAAAGTTTTAGTGAAACGTAAGCTAACGCCGTTAAAAGTAAGCTTCGATGTTTGTTACACAAACTCACACAGAGAAGGAATCTGGTACTGCTTATCGTAACCATGACATTGAAAATTCAAAATAACTCAAACCGATTTTCAATTTTTTAGAAGCAGAATTTTAATCAGAAATTTTTAGCAAACATTAATAGACCTGATTACAAGAATAATATTCAAATTGACACTATCGCAATCCAGCTAAGCTTGTCATGAAATGCGTGCTAGGGGATTCAATTGAATTCAATGTAAGGTTAAATTACTTTGCTATTGTAAAAATGTCAGTGCAATAATCGCAGTGCAAGGAACCAGCGCCATCACGATAGCTGCTGTAATCGAAATGTTAAGTGATGACATGAAACCAGGTGATTGAGTTCGTTACATATTTGTGCTTAAAAACACTTTTCTACAACAGTGATGGTAGAGACAATACAATAGTTAGCGTGGTCGAAGTCCAAGATGTGACAAAAGTAGGTGTAATTAGAGAGATTTTTAGAAATGAGAAGCCAATATCAGATTGTGAAATACGATCGAGAAATAGTTGAACCTGAAATTAAATGTAAATCATTAATAATCTAATTTTGATATATTAATATAAAGTCTAAACAATTTACCTCATTATTTGATGTGATGGAACGCGTTTTATGTGAAAGGGAATAGACATCATCGAAACATTTATGTGAAAGATAATGAGCATATATCATGTTGTAAGTGATGAGCGTTAATTTTAAAAGACGCCATAAAAGACTAACGCATCCAAATAGCGTTGGCTCATAGCAAACCTGGGCAATAACAGAAATAGATGAAAGGATAAAGAAACTGAAAAAATTGAATATCGGTATTCTTAGGAACGAATCCATTTTTTCTGTGATTACAGCAGCGATGCTGTACATTGAACGAACTTCACGAACTTGATTGATACTCAATAGTCGACTGTCAGTGCTGTTAAGTAAACGTATCTGCTCATTGACAATGAACCAGCATGCATGAATGTGTAGGCAAGATTCAACAAGAAATTGGTTGTATATCTGAAAACACAATATGCAAATTGAACTCAACAAACCGAGCAGTAAACTTTGACCGAGTTGAACATAGTCGTTCGATTTTCGGAAAATCATTATAGGAGTGTATATATTTGCAAATGTATAAAGAAGCAAAATAATAATGACCATAAAAGAAAAACATTTGCGAATTGAAGTAAAATGTTGATAAACTTGCGAGTTGTCGAGATTAAATCGAGTTTGATTTTCAAATGTGTCAATCAATTCAATATATTCCACTTTTTTTGAACGTAATCGTAGAAACCAAAGTAACATCGCGACCAGGCTCAGTGAATTGGAAAATATAAAACACATTTCCAATTTAGTGCTCGTTCTTAATCGTGAAATATCACTGTAAATTATGTAAATGACTACACAAATGGAAAATGCATGAGCGAATGTACTTTTATTTCCTTCCAGTCGAAGCATTGAGGTTAATAAGCCGATAGGTTTGGAGCATGAAGAGCGACCATCGAAAGTGGTAATTCGATACATGATGTCAGTCAAGATTATACGAAATAACTAAATGAATATTGAAAATTTTATAAATTTGAAATTTTTGATATTTGAGTGCGCAGTTACAGATCAATGAATAAAGTTCTGTAATCATGTTCGAAACTATCAATCGATTATTTAGTGATTTTGCCATGTTTTGCTGAATACCGATTTCGAAACAAAAGAGACCCAACCAATTGATTGAGTTTGAATCAATTTATAGATTCATGTTGATAACTGTTGATACTTTGAATTTGAATTTAATTTTTCATCGTTGATGCGAATGTGCAGGAAAAGAAAGATTTTTCCAATAGAGTTTCAGACAATTTGATGAACTTTGAACGAAAAAAGAATTAATTTCACATTTATCAAAATTTTCATTCATCGAAACAACTAAGAAACCCAATCTAAAATTCATGAATCTTACCTTTGCAGGGCAAAGAATGAGGTGAATGAGCTAAACTTAAATACAAATGTTGGCTGCCTCAGCAAAACATAAATGATTTTTTTATTAGTGACAATAAGTGTAGGGTTAAATACAATCTAATGAAACACATGATTAGATTTGGTGATAAGAACAATCAATCAGTTTGAAATGAGGGATAGGATATGAAGGAGGTCAATGTTAGTAAAGAAATTTTGAGAATTTTTCAATTCGAACTTCGATTGTCCAATTATCAAAAAGTAGTAGAACCTGGAATAGCGAAATGTAGTGAAATACTTAGCTATTACAAAAGTGTCAGTGGAGTGGTGAAAGTGTAATAAACCAGCGCCATCACGATAGCTGCTGTAATCGAAATGTTAAGTGATGACATGAAACCAGGTGATTGAGTTTGTTACATATTTGTGCTTGAAAACACTTTGCTATAACAGTGATGGTAGAGACAATACAAAAGTTAGCGTGGTCGAAGTCCACGATGTGACAAAAGTCGGTGTAATTAGTGCGATTTTTAGAAATGAAAAGCCAATATCAGACTGTGAAATACGATCGAGAAATATTTGAACCTGAAATGAAATAAAATGCAAATCGGTCATTTACTATAATCATTGATCTTTATTTAAACAAAGTTATAACAATTTACCTCATTATTTAACGGAATGGAACGCACTTTATATGAAAGTGAATAGACATCATCGAAACATTTATTTGAAAGATAATGCACATAGAGAGTATTGTAAGTAATGAATATCAAGTTCATAAGTCGAAGTGAAATCTGAATAAATCCAAATAATGTTGGCATGGACCAAACTTGGGCAATGATATTAAAAGATGAGAAGATAAAGTAACTGAAAAAATTGAATAACGGTATTCTTATGAACGAATCCATTTGTTCTGTGATTACAGCGGCAATGCTGTACATTGAACGAACTTCACGTACTTTATAGATATTCAATAATCGACTCTCAATATTGTTTAGTGAACGAACGTGCTCATTCACAGTGAGCCAGCATGCATGAATGTGAAGGCAAGATTCAACGAGAAATTGGTGCTTCAACTGGAAACACGATATGCCAAGCACATCAATCAAACATAGCAGTAATTTTTGACCAAGTTGAACATAGTCGCTCAATTTTCGGATAGTCATGATTGCAGCATATATATTTGCAAATTCAGAAAAAAAGACGACAGAAACGAAACAAAACCAAAAAATCTTGCGAAGTGAAGTGAAATGATTATAAACTTGCGAGTTGTCGAGATTATATCGAGTTTGATTTTCAAATATGCCAATCAATTCAATATATTGACCCCTTTTTGAACGTAATCGTAGAAACCAAAATAAAAGGGTGGACAGGCTGATTAAATTTATACATTGATGACATATTTCTAGTTTATTGTTCGTTAAAAACGACAAAGTAATAAACTCGCGCAAAATAACGTAAATGAATATACAAATAATAAACAAATACGTGAGTTTACTTTTCCTTCCTTCGAATCGAAGCATTGAGGCTAATAAACCGATGGGTTTGGAATATGAAGAACCACCATCGAGAGTGGTAATTTGAAACATGTTGTCAATGAAGATTTTATTTAATAACTAAACGAATAGTGAAAAATTTTTATGAATTGAAAGTTGCCTTTAATCCTTAATATTTGAATACGCAGCAACAGACATTTGCAAATCAATGAATAAAGTTCTGTATGTTTCAAGACTTGCAAACAATCATTTATTAAATTTAGCCATGTTTAGTTGAAAATCAATTTTGAAACAAAAGCGAATCGACTGAGTTGGTCGAATTGGCAGAGTTTTGCATTTAATAGATTCATGCTGATGCATTCAGTTTCAATTTAAATTTTCATCGTCAATGCAAATGTGCAAGAAAAAGAAAACAATTTTTCCATAGAATTTCAGACAATAGGAAAGTAGAAAAAATAACGCATTTATCAAAATGGGATCATAAAAATCGATTCAGGTGACTTACTCAAAAGTATTATTAATATATAGAGCCAAGTAGCCGTTTTTGAATCATTAGGTACTTTTTTGTACTTTTGCGAATTGCAAACTTGGATGCGTGGATGCATCTTATTATAGACCTAATAATATTTTTATTAAGATAACAATCTGGGAATATTAAAATACTGAAACTAGTACAATAGAAATCGATTGGATGAAAAAAATCAGACAATTTTCATCAATAAGAAAATTACATGAATACATGAATAGGTTACACTAAAAGAACAAGCAATCAATTTGTCAAAATAATCATTTAACTTTTTTCAGGATGGATATCTATTATATTCTGAATCGAATGAATTTCCAGGTTTATTATAAAAATGCTTTTTAAAGATATCACAATCAGCGGGTGCTTAATATTTACCGTAAATCGATATATTCAAAGTTATAATAATGATACAATCTTAACACAGTAGTTTATTTGAATTAGAAAGTGCAATAATATGGTGCTGAATAAGGTGCACTTTAGATATTAATAATTTAAACCCGTAAAAATCACAGTAATATTTGAGAAATTTTGATATAAGTGTGTTTTAAGGATGACTTTACAAAACGGATAGAAAGAGCGATCGACTGAAACTACTTTTTATAGTTTGAGGCTCCTCTTCAGGTTAATCTCAATTTATTAATAGTTTAACGGAGTACAAGGGTGAATAATATGTAAGTCGGGTTAATTTGAAAGAACGGATAGGAAGAGCGATTGACTAAAACACTTACCAGTACATCGTTAGTTCAAATCTGCTCTTCAGGAGTGTAGGTTAATCTCAATGTAGTTTATCGAAAGAGTTATAGGGTAAATTACATGTAAGTCGAGTTACATTGAGGTTGAATACTAAATAAAGGTTGAATTAAAATGTCAATGCAATTTTTAAAGGGAGAGAAAGAAATGATATCACGATAGCTGTTGCGATTGAAATGTTCAGTGGTGACACGAAATCAGGTTTTATATACCAATGGGATACATATTTGTGCAAAAACGCCTTTTCTATACAAGTGATGGCAGGGACAACACAAAAGTTAGCAAAGCCGAAGTCAATGACGTGACAAAAGTCGGAGTAATCAATGAGATTTTTAGAAATGAAAAGCCGACATCAGATCGTAAAATACGATAAAGAAACAGTTGAACCTGAAATGAAAAAACCAAATCATTAATAATCTAATAAATCAATCAATGTTTAAACAATTTACCTCATTATTTAACGCTACGGAACGCATTTTATATGAAAGTGAATAGACATCATGGAAACATTCATTTGAAAGATAATGAATATAAATAGTGTTGTAAGTGATGAGTGTCAAGATTAAAAGATCCAATAAAATGTGAATGATTCCAAATACCGTCGGTACAGTCCAAACTTGGACAATATTTTCAAAAGATGAGATGATAAGATAGTTGAAAAAAACGAAAATCGGCATTCTTAGAAATGAATTCATTTTTTCTGTGACATCAGCAGCGATGCTGTACATTGAACGAACTTTACGGACTTTATCGATGGTCAATAGTCGACTGTCAATATTGTTTAGCAAACGAATGTATTCATTGACAGTAAACCAACATGCATGGATGTGAAGGCAAGATTCTACTAGGAATTGGTTATATAACTGTGGATTCAATAGGCAAAGTAAATTTAACAAACTTAGCAGTAAATTTTGGCCAAGTTGAACATAATCGTTCGATTTTTTGAAAGTCATGATAGGATCATATGCAACACAAAATGCCCCAAAAAGCATAACGAAAACGAAATAAAACGAAAATATATTGCGAATTGAAGTGAAACGACGTGTAGATTCCGAGTTGTCCAGATTACAATGAGTTTGATTTTCAAATCTGTATATCAATTGGCTATATTGCTTCTTTGTTGAACGTAGCTTCAGGTACCAAAATAAAATCACGTTCAGGTTTATTAAATATAAACACTGAAAACACGTTTCCAATACAGTCTTTGTACGTAACAGCCATATATTGTTCAAAATTACGTAAATAAGTGAAAAAATGAAAAACCAACTAGTGAATTCACTTTTCCTTCCTTCGAATCGAAGCATTGAGGCTAATAAACCGATGGGTTTGGAACATGAAGAACGACCATCGAGAGTGGTTATACGAAACATCATGTCAATAAAGACTTTATTTGATAACTAAACGAATAGCGAAAAAGTTTTATAAATCTAAAGTTGCCTTTGCTCGTTAATATTTTAATACGCATCAACTTTCAAACTTATTGATCAGCTCCGAGTATATAAAGAAATCAAACTTGCAACAAATTTACGAGTAAAGTTTCAAAAATTTATCGATTCCAAGAAAAGTATTTACGTCAAACTACAACAACCATTTATTTTCGCGTTCCATTAGAAAACTTGGTGCCTTGATGCACAAAAAAGAGAGAAATTTGGTGCATAATAAGTTTTTAGCTGTTGAGATGTCTTCGTTCTAACGGTTACATTCAGATAACAAAGGTTGATAACTTGTTGCTTTAAAGCTTTCATGTGTACGCTTACATAAACTCACAAAAAATTTTGGTACTGGTCATTGTATTAATTATAACGTTGGAAAGTTTGAATATTTTTATTATAATGAAATCTAAGCGACAATCGATTTTTTAGAATCAGCATTTAATCAAGAATAGATTTGTTTACAAGAATAATATACTATTTGACAGATTCGCAATCAAGCCAGGTTTGTCCCAAGTTGAATGCTAAGTGGGTCGTTATTATCATAATACTCAACATAAAAGTGTCAGTGACCAAAATTAAAAGTGAAAGAAGCCAATGATACGAGAGCTGCGATTGTTTTGTGATGTCATGAAGACAGGTGTTACATGCTAATTCGATGCATATTTATGCTTAAAAAACGTTGCTACAACAATGATGGCAGGGACAATACAAAAGTTAGTAAGGCCGAAGTCCATGACGTGAAAAAAGTCGGTGTAATTAGTGAAATTTTCAGAAATGAAAAGCCAATATTAGATTGTGAAATACGATCAAGAAATAGTTGAACCTGAAATTAAAAAATGTGAATTATTAATAAGAAAATTTAATTACGATGTACAACCTTTGAACAATTTACCTCATTATTACATGCAAACGAACGCACTTTATATGAAATTTGATAGACATCATGGAAACATTCATTTGAAAGATAATGAATATAAATCGTGTTGTAAGTGATGAGTGCCAAGATTGCAAGCTGAAATAAAATGTGAATAATTCTATATACCGTCGGTACAGTCCAAACTTGGACAATGTTATCAAAACATGAGATGATAAGATAGTTGTAAGCATTGAAAATCGGTATTCTTAGAAATGAATCCATTTTTTCTGTGATATCAGCAGCGATGCTGTACATTGAACGAACTTCACGAACTCTATAGATATTCAAAATTGGACTCTCAATGTTTAGTGAACGAATGTGTTCATTGACAGTGAACCAGCACGCATGAATGTGAAGGCAAGATTCGACTAGGAATTGGTTGTATAACTGGAAACACAATATGTTAAGTGAACTCATCAAACCTAGCAGCAAATTTTGGCCAAGTTGAATATAGTCGTTCGATTTTTTGAAAGTCATGATAGGATTATATATATCTACAAAGCCGTAAAAAAGCATGACAGAAGTAAGAAAAAATGAAAAAATGTTGCGAATTGAAGTAAAGTGATGATAAACTTTCGAGTTTTCGAGATTGCATCCAGTTTGGTTTTCAAATATTTCGATCAATTCAATGTATTGCCACTTTTTTGAACGTAGCCTGCAAAACCAAATTAGTAGGCTGCTCAGACTGCTTAAATAGATAAGCTGGAAACACATTTCCAATTTAGTCTTCGTGCTTAATAGCAAAATGTTGCGTAAAACAATATAAGTAGTATAGAAGCAGCCCACTTTGGCCCACTACTCTGGCACACCAATTAAGGGAGAAAGAGAAAAAGAAAGAGAAAAAAGAAAGAGAGAAATAAAAAGAAAGAGAAGGAGAAAGAGAAGAAAGAGGAGAAAGAGAGGAAGAAGAAAAGAAAGAGAATAAAAAGAAAGAGAAAAAAGAAAGAGACTAAAAAAGAAAGAGAAGAGGAAAGACAATGAAAAGAAAGAGAAGAGGAAAGACAATGAAGTGGGCTAGAGATAGCCGTAATGATTAGTGGGCTAGAGTTAGCCGTAATAATTAGTGGGCTAGAGATAGCCAATATTTCAAATATGCAAAGGTTAATGGGATCAAACTCGTAATTTAAACAAAAGCAAACGACTCTTCTATGTGTGCTAGAGTTAACCAAGATTTAATGAAAGTCAGAATAGCTAATGGAGATACAGTTAGCTATACACATATAACTTGAATGTAATGACTCACATCCTGTCATAAAAATGGTAAAAGGAAAAGGTCAATAAACAATTTGCTTTTAACTTGTGGCTACTATAAGTGCAGTTAAGAAATAAAACTAATTAACGAAAGATGCCAAGCTACTGATTGGTCTTTAAAATGAATAGGAGGTTCTTATGTATTGTTTAATTTTAAGTTTGAAGGAGCCTTTGGTTCACGCCTGTTTCTTGAAAATAGAATAAAAGGGAGACACAACTTCAACATGAAATCATATTCGTTTCAAACTTTGAAGTCATTTTTGAGTTAGAAAAAATCTCAAAGAAGAAACGCAATATGAGTGCAACTACAATGAGTGATGATGAAAGGCGTGCTATTGATATATTCAGACATACTATTCGTGATGCTTTGGAGAATAGTCAGATGAAGAACTTTTATGATAGAGTTCATATCCTTTTGTATAATAGACGCGTTTTACTCAGAGAATGGATTGAAATTTCTAGCATAGAAGCTATAGCTGATATCCAAAATGCTAATTATCAACAGGATAGGCGCCAACAAGAGCAGGCAGACCAAGATGTAATGTCTGAATCTTTAACAAACCATATGAGAGCTTTTATTCGTGAAAGAGCAAATTTTCGAACCATCAGAGGAAGAGTATCACGGAATGAACAATGGGGACTAGGTATTTCATTGTTGGATAATGATAACTACATACGAGCTTTCTTGCCTTTAGAGTTAGTTCGTGATTTCGAAGGTGATCTTGAGATGGTTGACGCTGAAAATAGTCAAGGTCATGATACTGTTGATGATATTTTCCGTACTTCTACGCCAATTGAAGATTACCGTGCGCTGCTTTTATCTGAAATGGATATTAGCGATAATGAAAATGACACTAGCAATGCTGCTGCAAATGTTGATCCTTCTGCTGATGCTGATAATCCTGCGGCTGATGAAAATGCTAATACTAATGTTGAAAATGCTGCTGCAAATGTTGATAATCCTGCGGCCAATAATGATGATACTGCTGCCAATAATGATAATCCTTCGGTCAATATTGATAATCCTGCGGCTAATAATGATAATACTGCTGCCAATGTTGATAATCCTTCGGTCAATATTGATAATGATGCGGCCATTGTTGATCTTTCTGCTGCCGATGCTGATAATCCTGCGGCTGATGAAAATGCTGGTGCTAATGTTGAAAATGCTGGTGCCAATGCTAATGCTGTCAATACCTTTAATGCTGCATATGCCTTCGCTCCCAATTCCTTTGCTCCCATTGTTGCTGATGATAGTTTTACCGACGATGACGAAAGTATTCACTCATACGTAACGACTGAGTCCCATGAGATTGTAAATGTATGTAGTGAAGCAAAACTTGCTGCCCGAATCAGGAATCTTTATTCAGAAGATTCTTCTTTTTTCCGCTTGATAAGGAAAAAGGCGGACTATGAAGCATCTTTGCCATCTGGTGTTGTGCATAAAATGCCGAAATCTGCTTCAGTGATGAAATATTTACGATTGCGTTCTATGCATTACATTAAAATTGCGAATTTATCAAAAATGGTAATGGCCTATCCAGCAATGAAAACTCATGAGTGTCGTGTTGCATCCTTTGCGAAGCATGATGGCCATGTTGTTAAAGAGATTACACCTGATTCATATGCTGAAGCCGGTTTCTTTTCATATGGTAAGCTTTTTTGCTAATGGTGAATTATTATTTAGTAGATGATTTTGACTAACTCGATGTAATCTTTTTTCTAATTTTCGTAATATCTTATAGGTGAACATGATGCTGTAACATGTTTCTTTTGTGCTGGAACAATAGCGAATTGGTTACCGAAAGATGATCCGTGGGAATTACATGCACTACACTTCCCTGATTGTATGTATGTTTACCTGAAACGAGGTAAAAATTTTGTGAACATACAATTATCTGGAAAAAGTCATGTTGGTCCCTATGAGCCGGCTCCGCAAGTTAATGAATGTCAAACACGTTATGAATGTAAAATATGCTTCAACGCTGAGATTAGCGTTGTATACAAACCCTGTGACCACATGATAACATGTTACGATTGCGCACCTCTATTTTCATCTTGTCCATGGTGCAAAACAACAATATCTAATGCTATTAGATGTATCATAGCAACATGAAAAACTTGTACCTTTAACACAATAAAATTGATTTTAAATTGTGAAACAAAACATTGTCTGCACTTCAATTGAAACTTCGGGTATAAAAAAGCTTCGGCTTGTGAATTTCGTTCACTTCACGTGTGATTACTGTATGGATAAGATAGCTGAAATTTGTCAAATTTTTCTACTATTCACTGCTTTAATGTTAACTTTATTGTCAACATATTATTTCATGTATGTAAGTAGAAATTATCCAAATTCGTTAAGACTAGCATAATGGAAATTATAAACGTAGTTTCAATTTGGGATTTTGGTTCCAAGATTTCAATAAACGTTGACAACAAGAATCGTAAGAAAAACTATAATGCTGAAGTCAAACGGTTGGAAAAAGGATGTTTTTTACTTTTTGCTTCTGGTAAATGCGTAGCGACCGGATTCAAATCATTATCTGAAACTTTAAATGCATTCAAGTTAAATTTCCCTCAAACACCAAAGTTTATCAAATTGAGTAATATTACTGCACATTCAAAGTTAAAATATCGCTTTAAATTTGATGAAATATTGGCCAATTATAAAAATACATCATACGAACCTGAATTATTCCCAGCATTATACTGGAGAGAAGGTAAAAATTGCATCATTTCCTATGACAATGGATCCATAATAATAACTGGTGCCACCTGGCCAGATAAAATGATAATGCGCAATTTTTTAAATGCTACAAAATTGTATAAAAAGGAAAGGATGCTAGGTTAACGTTTAGTTGTTAATCTTTCTTCGTGTGATCAAGTTCAAACTATCATTTCTCTTACAATGTCTCTAACATGGAAAACAGTGCTTCCTCTATCAATCGATCCAACCCTTAAAATTTCATTAGGTTTTGGCTATGAATTGAATGGTTCTTTTGCTTGTGCACGTTTCAATATTCGTCGTTATGTTCAAAACTTTCCGACACAAAATGGTGTGGTTGTTACAGTGAATGAGCTCAAGGTTATTTACAATTATTTCAAAGCTGTTGCTGCTGATAATTGTCTAGAAGATGTAAACTATGGTGCATTGGTGGTCTCTCGTCCCTCTTATGATGAAATTCGTGTGCAAAAGAATAACAAGCTTCTAATCCTGAATCGTGTTAATGTTTGTTCACTGAGAAGATTTTTACCTGCCTATATTATGATCATGGATGCCAAAAAAGGAAGTGTTCCTGCTACAAATGAGTTTCTTGACAAAGTGTTTGATGTCTACATTTACAGTGTTATCAGAGCTAATCGTGATGAACCTGATTTCGACCATGAGCATTTCATCTCAAGAATTTTGAACAACTATCAACAGCACGTCAACAAATTGGTGACAAATATATTAAATCATCTTGACATACAAGAAATTGATTTCAACGAAAAATTCTTGAGCCGTGTAACTTTTGAAAATTCATTGGATGTGCACCATAAAATTGATGTGAAGGAGGCCAAAGATTATAGATCTATCGGGCTTTTGTTATCCACATTCATATCAAGCTTCAATCTTTAATTTTAACTATCATCACAAGTTAGAATTTTCAGTACAGGTGGCGTGTTTGTCGATCACACGCTTATATATAGCCTGTATTAGCTAAATTTTTGTCAGTTAGTCTTCAGATCAGTAACATGGAATATGTTTGTGCTTTCTTCGATGTGCAAGGTTTTTATTTTAATGACAAGTTTTACCCAAGAGAAGCTGCTCTTCTCGGTACTAAATCCTTAGTGCATCTATCAATCAACAATGAACTTACTATGCAAAAGTTGAATCATCATGACCAAAGAATATGTAATTATCTTTCCAATATGCATCATGGACTTAATTTAAGTGCCACCAAACAGGATGGATCTTCAATTGCGGAATTAAAGGAAACCATTAAAATCTTTTATCATTTTGCTCACAATGAAGAAAAGTTCTTGGTGGCTTGCAAATCATGCGAAGCTGAAAGGATGCTCCGTGAACTTGATATACCAAGGATTAATCTTTTGGAATATGGTGGAACCTGTAGAGAAATTGATGATGGGAATCGGTCACCTTGTCATCTTCATACGATTTGTAGGAAAGCAAAGGTAAATTGTTCATTGAATCTTGTTGTTATGATGAAAAAATGGTACATGTCTGATGTATGGAATATCCATGGTACTGCTTGGAAAAACAAAAACAATAACAACAATAATAATAATAATAACCGTAATGTTACTTCTGGCCCTAATGTTACTTCTAATCTTCCAAGTGCCTTTCGTTGGACTATATAAGAAATAATCAATCAATAAAGAATTATCATTTTTGAAACTGAAAATGTCTGAACTTGTTTATTTAAAACACCCATTCACAATGCTAATTTCTGGTCCAACTGGTTCAGGTAAAACTGTTTGGGTAAAAAACTTGATTGAAAATAATAGTAAATTCTGTTTACCACCACCCCAACGTATAATCTATTGTTACGGTGAATATCAGTCCATTTTCTCTACCTTTAAAAAAACAACATTCATTCCTGGGTTGCCAGATAACATTATTGATATGTTTG